GGCAGGCTCTGGTCCAGGTGTTGCCGTGAAGGTGTTCTCTGGACACAGCTAACAGCACCTACAACCAGCTGACTCTGAGCAGAGGAGATTTCCTGCATAGTGTGGGTGATCAGCCTTCTCGAAGAAGAAATCCTGCCTCATGACTGCAGCCGGAGCTCCTGCCCGAGGCTCCAGCCTGCCAACCTGCCCTGTGGATCTCAGACTTGCCAGCCCCCACAATCGCCTGAGCCAGTTCCTTAAAATGAATCTCTTTATATGTATGTATGTCTGTATCTGTGTCCACGTCCACGTCCCTCTGTCCTCATCCTCCCGAGGGGTCAGTCGCCAGTCGTGGCTCCTGGCCAGGGACCACAAGGCCGAGCCCTGTGGCGTCCAGGTCCCACGACTGGTCCTTGACACTGGGAACAGAGAGGCAGGGGTGCATGTCCCCTCTGAGCCAGAGGCCCTGAAGGCCCTTTAGAACGGGTGAGGCCACAGCGGGACGGAAGCTGCTGAAGTTACGGGCTCGTCCGTTACGGCAGCTGACATTGCCCCATCTAATACCTCCGGCTGGAGAGCTGCCATCCTTAAGAAGCCTGCACGCTAGGGGCGCCTGGGTGGCTCAGTCGTTAAGTGTCTGCCTTCGGCTCAGGTCATGATCCCAGGGTCCTGGGATCGAGCCCCACATTGGGCTCCTTGCTCAGTGGGGAGTCTGCTTCTTCCTCTCCCTCTGCCTGCCGCTCTGCCTACCTGTGCTCTCTCTCTCTCTGTCAAATAAATAAATAAAATCTTTAAAAAAAAAAAAAAAGCCTGCATGCTAGGAGCACAGAGGAGGGACACACAATAACCCCAGGATCACCATGCCCGCTGCTCCGCCAGGAAGGATGGCACAGCTCACGGCATTAGGATTCCGAAGAACGGGTCACAGCCCAGCCTGGTGCGCTCCTGGGTGCTGAGACGTGGGTGTTTGTGTGTAATCGGGGAGGATGGTTCCCACCCTGCTTCCTCCCCAGGCCGGACGAGCTACCACGAAGGAAAGCCTGTTGGAAACTGTGATGTCCCTAGAAACACACGGTCCGAAGAGACGAGAACCAAGGTTCAGAAGAGCACGGGCTTCCCGCGCTGAAGACACAGGTCCCGACCTCTCCACACCACTGAGCCAAACGTGTATCAGTGAAACAGTGGGAGACCCGGGGCCCCCACATCATTCTGCGGGGGCTGCCCCTGGCCCCTGACGTCAGCTTTGTTGCCATATGATGGGAAATCAGTTGGTCATGCTCAGCCACAAAGTGCCCTGAGCTGCCCTCTGCGTGCTGTGGGTTCCTTGAATCACTCACCTATTCCATTTAATGCACGAGAGCGGGATTTGCTGGCTAAACACTTGCTTTACGTGGGGCTCCCCAAAGAGAGGGCACATTCGAGGCCCACAGCAGGCTGACTTGGTGCAGAGCGAGTGTGCTGGATGGAAACACCATCTCCGGATTCTGTGTATATTCCAGGTCTGCCAACTCTCAACATTTAAAAATGGAGGGTGGGGGGCGCTCCACACAAAGTACTGATCATGAAAAAAAATAAGGAAGTGAGACTTCGTTTAAAATTTTAAAAACTCCCTACTCCTTTAAGATGCAGTTAGAAAATAAAAGGTGAAGTCCAGGCTCGGGTAAGTATCTGCAGCACGTATCTGGCAAAGGGCGCACGAGGAACCCCCAAATCCAGGAGTGGCAAGAGAAGCGGCCCGATTAAAGATGGACGAAGACGTGCCCAGATCCTTTGAAAGACGCTGACCTCGGGGAGCAAGCACGTGGAAGCCGTGCGCTACGATCCTCCCCAGAACGTGGATGACATCCACAGCACGACACCCGGCACACCCACAGGGCGGCCGCCCCGTAGGGGACGGATAACAGCAGACATGGGCCAGGATGTGGGGCCACGGGAGCCCCAGGAGACTCAGCAGCTGGGACGGCCGTCTGGAGGTTTCCTCTAAAGCGAAATGCACTCCTGTCTTGTGACCTCGCAGGTGTGCACCCAGCAACTTCCCCGGGGCCAAAGGAAGCCATGTCTGCGGAAAGGCTTGCACAGAAACCTTCCTATGAGCCCAAATCGAGGAGCAACCCAAACGCCCATCGCTGGGAGCATGAGTAAACAGAGTACCTCGGGCATACACGTGTGACAGAACACTCTTCGTGGACAAATACGGACGGATCGCTGGTGCTTGCAGCAGTGTGGCTGATGATCGGCTGTGTGCAAGGCGCCGGCCCAGGAGCGCGGGCTGCAGGGGTCCGTCTCTGGGAGATTCAACTGGTCACACTGGCCTCTGCTGCCAGAGCCCTGGGGAAGGCGCTGTGGCCGGGAAGCACCCAGAAAGAGTTTGCGGGGTCATGAACGTCTGTCCTAAGAGTGCTCGGAGACGCAGGCGTATACGTGGATCAAAATGCACTGAACGGTGCTCTCCAGCAGGTAAATCATACCTCTACAAAAGAAATCAGTAAACACGGCCCCTGGCGCTCAGCCACAATCTGAGAAAGCCCAAGGCAAGCAGAGCCTGGCGGGAGCCGCTCCAGAACCTCCCCACCCTAAAATCCAGCTCCGAGTCTGCTCCCCCTCATGCCACCCTCTCCATCCCGGGTTACAGGGATGCCCCCTCCTCTGACCCGCTGCCCACGTCATAGCATAACTACTGCGTTCATAATTCACCCTCCCTGGTGGACAGAGGATGCCCCCCAAAGACACTCACATCTTAATGCCCGGCACCTGTGAATAGTGACCACACAGGGAAAAAGGGAATGAGGTTGCAAATCAGCTTACCCTGCCCTGGCTTATCCAGGTGGGCCCAGGCTGACCTAACATGCGTCCTAACACGTGGGGAAGAGGCAGGAGGGGGTCAGAGACGTGCCGTGTAAGGGACCTGGCCACACTCTCAAGTTGGCCGGAGGGGCCACAAGCTAAGCATGTTGCAGCATCCAGAACCTGCAGACAAGGACACGCACTCTCCCCTAGAGCTTCCGGAAAGGACCACAGCCTGGCCGACACCGGGAGCCGTGAGACCCACACCAGACTTCTGACCTCCAGAACCACAAGATAATGCATTCGCGATGTTGAAGTCACTGGCCACTGGCCACCACGAGCAGCTCCGGCTCCTACGATCCTTACGGGCAGCACAGACCTGTGCCGTCTCGGGCTCAGGCCCCGCAAGCTGCCCGGGGCCACGAGGTACTCAGGAAACGTACGTGGGGTGACAGCATCCGGTGCCATGTTCCAGAAGGGTGTGGCACGGTCGCTTGGGGTCAGGGACCGGCTTGCATGTTCTCAAGTCCCCCCAGGACACACGGCCAGCCCCCAGAATTGGCTGGAGCCCCAGTATTGTTGAACCCTGGGATGAGCACCAGCCTGGGTAGCGACGCCACATTATCAAAAGGACGCCATCCTGCAGAGTGTTGTAAGAAGCAAAGAACATCCTTCTAGGAATGTCACACCCAACAGCTTTCCCAAGAGACACATACAAGCCGCTGCCCCCGGGGAGCCCCGCTGGAGGAAATCATCAGCCTGGACGAACTGCACCGCGCCCACCTGCCCCCGCGGACCTCTTGCCCCGGGCGAGGTGGGGCAGTGCCGGCAGGTGGGCAGAGAAGGCCCACAACAGGAGAGGGGAGGAGGGGGCGCCACGTGCCCGGCCTTCCCCTCCCTCTCTCCAGGAAGCCACGATTTCCTGGAGGATGCAGGGAGCAGGAAGGCCCGGGTGGCCCGCACATGTGTTCATCTGGGCTGCCCCCAGCCAGCAATGCCTGGCACCCACACGCCCGAGTCTTTCCAAGGGAAGAATGTGTGTTGGGAGACGAGGGGCACCGAGGCTGTGTAGCAGGACTGGAGGGAAGGAGAGGGAGGACAGAGGCATTCGGCAACCTGGAAGGGGAGTCCCGCCCACAGGCTGTGGTCTTGCCCTTCACAGACCAGCGGGGCTGGGTGCGCTGCATGCAGGAGAAGATGCGGGTGGGCCAGGGGCGGCAGGGCCAGGAGGTCCGGCTTGGACCGGGGGCTCAGGGTGTGAGTCACCGCACCTGGGAAGGCAAACTCTTACCCGCCTGCTGCCCACGGACGCGCCCAGCCGCCTTCCCCAGAGGGGCACACTCTGGCCTTCCCTTTCAAACCTGAGCACGTCTCTGAGCTGAGCACGTCTCTCACCTCGACACCCCCACCATACGGCAAATGTCCCGGTTTCCCAGCTGAGCATCCCCGATGATGAGTCTGCAAAGCCAGCCACGTGCGGGGGGGCGGGGACCACCGTGCTTTCCAGAGCACGCGTCCTCAGGACACCTCATTTCCCGGCGGTGCAGGCCACGGGGCAGGGGACCACCAGCCCGCACAAGCAGACGCAGCGAAGCCACCGGCTGTGTGCTCCGTGAGCCTGGGGTCCTGCCCGATGCCCGCGGAGTGCACGCGCGGACCGGGTTCACATGCTTCCTTTTTCCCCAAGCACCATATTTCCTCCCAAGGCCATTGTATATAAATGGTCTCCTCTTAACATTTTAATCAATTCAATCTTTTGGCAATCGATTTCAAAGCGGTTTTCAGCAAAGGCTATATTTGGAGTTCTGAGAGACGCTGAAGTGATTTCCCTTCGCGAACACCAACCACTTCGGAGCGGTGTTTATCGACACATCAAACCGTGTGGTTGTAACGGAGGGCACGGGAGGGCCTTGCGGTGAACGCGAGCTGCCCGTGTGCGACATGGGTATGAGAGATCGATAACTAGCCTTCCAGATTCAGTCAACCCACGAAAGCCCTTCCCCGATGGCTACAACGAACGATCCAAGTTTTCTGGAACGTGTACTGAGCAGCCCCTTAACTAAAAGCTTCCACACCGTCTTGCAACCTATTTCTGGTTTGGACAGAGCCCAGAGGAATCGAATCAACCTGTTTCTATGACAGAGAGAAGTCCTCGCTTTGAAAGGCCACCTCTCTCCATAAGCAGGCGCACCCGGGCCCGAGGGCCGCGGAGACCGGCGCCCGCCGTACCGCCTTACCTGCCTGGCTGTCCTTGGGCCTGCACTGCACCTCCTCCACGCACTCGGCGGGGAACCATCCGATGTGGCCGCGGGCGCTGCCTTCCCAGAAGCCTCCTTCACCGATGCTCAGAACTAGAGGCAAGAGGGGGAAGCCGTTAGCAGGCGGACTCGAGGGGCCTGGGGGTAAGCACGAAGAGGGGATGGTGAGAGCGTGGAGCCGTCCCCCATGCCTGCACAGCCGGCAGCTCTGGTCCATCTGCTGGCCGTCCACACTTCCTTCAACTGTGGACGAGGGGACCCGGTGCAGTGTCCCTTGGAGAGGACAGTGCCGAGGGCGTGGACGCTGGGATCCCCAGGTCTCTTCTGCCCTTAGCATGCAAGTGCCGGCCTCCTGGCATCTTTATCTGACCCCACAAGTCCTGTGACTACTCTGTCCCCCGTCTTGGTGTCCCAGTTGAGATGGCGGAGGGGAACTGCAAGTCGCCACCATCAATCATGTCATGTGTCACAGCGGCGGGGCAGGTCTCCTCCACGGATGGAAGGAACGATGAAGTCATGCATGCCCCTTCCCAGCTGGGGAAGGGGTCCAAGGGTCTGCCTGATCTTTTAGACCAGTTTGGGGAAAGACAACTGACAGCAGGAGATGGAAGAGCAGCGAGGGGCCGTGTGCCAACCCCGCGCTCTGTCTGGCCTTGAGGTGAGGAGCTCTAGGGGAAGGGGGGCCGCTGGAGCCCTGCACCTGCCCATCCCCTCAGAGACAAGGGTGGTGGGCCTGTCCACGGGGGCCACTCTGCACCGTAGAAATGGGAAGACATTTCTTGAAGCCTTTCCTCCAAAATTCGATGCTGCCCCTTATACCCCAAGTAGCCCAGGTCGGGGGATGCACGCAGCTTCCCCCAAGAATCCGGACCTGAGAGGGGCACCCCAGATGGAGCGCTGCCTGGCAGCAAAGGGAGGCCAGGCACCTGCCCATGTGCTGGATGGGCCGAAGCCACACGTCTATCCACGTGACACACAGGAAGCTTCTTAGCCCCCCGTGCCTTGGTTCCCTCACGTGTTGGAGCGGGATACTAATCATAGCGCTACCGTGTGCGAGGCAGAGACACAGAACTCCGTGTGGCACTCCTTCCCCGCTCACGGCTTCTCTCCAGACGGCCCGTCGGGGAGTCAGGGAGGACACACCACGGTTTCGTGTTTGATGGGCACTGTTATTCCGAGAGCAGCGGAAGAGAGGGAAGGCTGAGGGGCCCTGCCCACCGGGTCGGTTTCAGCTCCGTTAGGAGAGGGGGACCCAGCAGGCTGTGTGCTGGATGCGGGGAGAGGCCGGGGGCGGGCCCGGGACATCCTCTGTGCCTGGTGAGCAAGCGCTAGCCGGCGGCCCTCTTGGCAGAGGAGGGAGGAGCAGGGGCACACGTGAGGGGGTGTGCGTGGGACTCTGGGTACCATCTGGAACATGCTACTATGTTTTAGGCCGTCGGCAAGACGGGTCCTCTGCCCTTAGGGAGCTGCAAGCGAGTCCTACAACCGTGTATGCTGGGCCACCGGCCACACATCGGGCTTGCACGCTTGGGCTGTTGTCTACCCCCCTCCCCAGGGCACACCTGTGCCCAGGTGGGAAAGTGTGTTCCCTGTAAGTGAAGAGGGAGCTAGGTTGGGCTCACCCATAAACTGCTGATTTAAGGCACTGAAAAGTAGACCAAGAACGAACCCAGTATCCACTCGCCCTACACAAGCCCACACGCTCCGAGGCCACAGCTGAAGCAACGTGGTCGGAAGAGGTGCCCGTCCAGCTGACCACTAACTGGCTACTCCTCCGGGCCTCTCCCCTCCAGAGATACCCGGCCCTGCCTTGTACACTGGGAACCAGTAAGTAGTGGTGCTAGCTTGGCTGCGTGGTCACCAGGCTTGGGCGGGACCCTCACTGCAGAGGCCCCACCCCCTCTGCAAGCTCTGCCCCGCCCCTGCCTGCATCACTGAGGAAGGACCTACCTGAGTGCCAGGAGCAAGCCCCTGGGCAGGGACTGCCTGAGTGGCAGGGTTCCCTGTTCTGTGCTGAGCCCCCTGTAGGCCATTTGAATTTTAAGCCATCCTGGGCTTTCCTCCACATAAGCATCACAAGGGGGATCAAGAGCAAGCACACCCCTGTGCCCAGGGAACCCACATTTAGGGAGAGGTGTGTTGAGCTATGCTTTCCCAGATGCACGGGCTCAGCAGTTCACTGGGAACATGAAGACCCCCCTCCACAGCCGAGCAGCTAATATGTGAATACAGCGAGAGTCAGGGCCCAGCCAGGGAGCTGGGGGTTATCAGCAGGACCCCACCCCCCTGGAGGCTGTGAGCTGGGTTTCTCCGGAAATCCTCCCCCGATTCCCTGCCCCTGCCCACCGGGCAGCCAGGCCTCCTGCCTCTGCTATGTACGTTGAGATCCAGGGAGGACAATTCCCTTGGCTCACCTCTGGCTGCCCGTCTCCAAGAGCCGCCAGCCAGCCAGGCAGGATGCCAGGGCCGCACAGCGTGGCCGGGAGGGAAGGAGGCCCCAGCCCAGCATCATGGGCTCCGAGGCAACTGCGAGTGACCCACAAGGCCCACCCAGCGGTCTTCAGACGAGAAGTCCTTTGCATCCGCCCTTTGCGGTGCAAGTCTGGGACCGGATTTCCAACATTTCTGTTCTCCGTGGGGGACTGGCCCAGCTCCCCGCACAGCCTGCTCTCCTGCAGCCACGGGTGGGCCCCAGCCTGGGACGATGCCCGAGGACACATGCGGAGAGGGGCAGATCCCCTTGTACCATCGCCCACAGGGCTCCTGCCTGGCCCCAGACCCCTCTGCGGTGGCTCGGGTCCACACCTCTGCCTTGAGCCACCTTCCCTCCGCCCCTGGCCTCCCCTCATCCAGGCCGCAGACTTAGGGTCTCCTGTGATTCCACCTTTCACTGCCCACCCCCATGGCCCCCCTACCCCTCTGACCTGAAGCCCCCTCCTCTCACTACACTTCTGTTTCCCATCCATGTCCAAGGGGACACAGGCTGGGAAGAGAACAGAGCCCAGGGCTTGGCTGGGAGCTGCCCTTCCCTGCAAGAGTGGTCGGTCCATCTCCCTGTGCTGACTCCCACTAGAAACCTGCCCCTGCAGACTTGCTGGGGGAGCCTGGCGGGACCTCTGGGAGCCTTCAACCCCCACCCCAGAACACCCTCCTTGGGCCTCCAACAAGCTCAGAGAGGGACTCCGTGCAGGCCGGATGCACAGGCCGCTGGCCCCCCTGGGCCCAGTTTCCCTCCCCAGCATGGGGGCCTCAGTCCCAGCCACCTGCCCACCCGGTCTCAGCTCTCGTCACCCCACAGCGTGGGACCAGCCTCGGGGGCCAGTCTGTGGTCAGCCCCACGGAGCCTGTGGTGGGCTTCTCTGTCCCGAACCAGGCACGGCTGGGAGGAAGGGGGTGCTTGTGGCGTCCATGACCCAAATCAAGACCGTGATCGAGACTCACCCAGGTGGACGGCAGGAACGCTAGCGCCTCGATGGAGACCCAGCTAGAGACTCCTGTCAACTGGCATGCGGTACGGGGATGCGTGCACTCACTCCCACACCCGCACGCACGTGTGCACACAGGCACACCCCACCTTGGCTGCGTCTCCGAGGATCAACACGGAGACAACCCTCCCACCTTCTGGATTCTTGCTTGTGCAAGCCGGATCTGCAGGCCACACATGCTCCTCAGTCAGAGCTCCTACAGGACAAGTCGGCCGAAGTGGGGAGCACTAAGGACAGCCTCGAAGGACCCCACACTTGGGAGTCTGAGTGCTGCCAGTGAGGCGCGTGTGACTGTCCCTTTCCCAGGGCCCCAGCGTAGTGGACGCTTGGTGCCCTAATTGAGACACCTTCCCCAGGAGACGCACCGTCCCTCAGCTGTTGTGAAAAAGGCTGCCAAAGGCTCATGGCCGACCCCTCTCCACTGAGCTTCCTGCCGGACATGGGAGCCAGCCAGCCTAGCAGGTTATGCCCCGCTTCCCAGGGACTAAGCCAGGACATGGGGTGCCCTCATGTCACACCTGGGTCCGAGCTCCTGCCCCCTTACTGGCCCCAGCACTGCTCTGGGGACAACCAGTGTTCAGTGAGAGGGAGCTGGGGGAATGCATGACCTCCTCCTTCCAGAGCAGGGCATGCTGGCTGACCGCTGGGTGTCCAGACGGGAACATGCTGGGGAGAGAGTAAATCTGCCTCTCGTCTCTCTCCGAGACACGTCGCAACCACAAACATGGGCACAGCCAGGTAAAGCTGGTAGCAACAGACCACAGAGGGAGCAGTCGGGACAGACAAAGCAAGGGGTGGGGGGACAGCATGGGCTTGGAGTCCAGGCCAACTAGATGTGGAGCCCCCAGCCCCCCGGTCATCAGCTGCGGGAGGCTGGGAGGTCTTCACCGGAGTTACCGTGTCTGCGGAAGACAGGTGCTTGGGCTGAATCGTGCCCCCAAATTCTTCTATGTTGGAGCCCTGACCCCGAGCACCTCAGAATGGGGCTCCATTTGGAGCTGGGGTCATTAAAGAGGTGATCAAGGCAACATGAGGTCACCGGGGTGGCCCTGATCCCATGTGACCAGGGTCTTACAAGAAGAGGGGATCAGGACACAGACCCGCCTGGTGGGATGATCCCGTGAGGTCACAGGGGGAGGATAGCTGTCTGAAGCCTGCATCTCGGGCGTCAGCCTCCGGGACCGGGAGACAGTGAATCCTACTGTTCAAGCCCCCCAGACTGAGGGACTCTGTGATGACCACCTGAGCACAGCCACGCCTTTGGCCCATAGCTGCTATGAGGTTCATGCAAAACCGTATGTGAAACATCCGGTAGTGTGTGTAGTAAACAGTAGGTGCTCACTGATGAGTCTCCACCTTCGTCTGCTCCTGTCACTGTCTCTGACATATGGAGCCCCCAGGTACGAAGTGGCCAGCAACTATCACTGGCAGGCTCCGTGGGGTCTACCAGCATGGCCTGAAGCTCCGCGTGGGTCTTGGGGTGCGGGGCGCCGTGGGCCCGCATGGAATGAAAGTCCGGGGCTGTGGGCCGACGGCTTAGCCAATTTCAGAGTGGGGCTGGGCAGGGAGACCCGGGTGGTGTGTTGGGGGCCGCGGGGGGCGGTGGGTGGGGTGCACACAGACATGAGAGCAGGCCCCAGGGGGTGGTGCTTTGTCTTCACACGAGCCGCCGGCCTCCCAGGGCTCAGGGGCTGACCGCACATCACCGCCCAATGGTCATCAGAGCTCTTGCATGCAGCAGGTCCGGGGGGCCTGCCTTTCCCAGCTTTCTCAGAATAGCAACTCTCCGGGGGGCAGGGGGGAGGCAGGGAGGGGCCTCGAGGCCTGGCCTGCCAGCTCTGTCAGGAGCGGGGCGTCCCCAGGGCCCCTCCAGGATGCCATCCGCAGCCGTGGAACAGGGGTCATGCCAGAAAGATGCACGGCCTCGGCAGCAGCAAAATCATTTCTGTCGTTCTGCCTGGGGCCCCGTGTGAGCGCCATGGCGGAGCCGCCAGCCACCCCGTCTGCAGACGCAGCGTCCTTGTCGTGGGGACGACCGGGAACTGCTCACATGTCCGGGAGAAAGTCTACCCTGCGATGCCTTCTGGGACTGAAGTTTAAAATTGCAGGTGGTGTGAATTTCTACATTTATAACTTGAATGCTACTAATGTGAAAGGTGACAAGAATATCGCAGTAAAGTTGACAGGGACAGTGCGGGGACTTGAACTTATAGGTGTGATGGGACGTGGCCCCCCCAGACACCCCAAAAGGCAGCTGTACCCCGTGTGCAGTGGGAAAGGTGCCGGAATGTGCGGAGAGGCAGCCAGGCCTGGTGGGACGCCTGGGGGCCTGTGGGAAGGGAGCTGGGCCAAAGAGCCCCTCTCCACAGCCGGGAGCCTGCACCCTGTCCACAAGGCAGGGCTGTGGGGGAGGGGGGAAGGGAGGGGCCCGAGGGGAAAACCCTCAGTCTGAGCAGCCTGAAGAACCAGAAAGATGAAGCCAGGAGAAAGCATGCGCCCCGGAAACTGGGGGTGTCCCCACCCGGGAAGGAGCCCGAGAGGGGCCGCAGACAGCCTCGTCACATCCCCGACTGTGCACAGAACAAGCACGGAGCTCAGCTCAGCTGAGCTCCAGATCTGAGCTGGCCTGGAGCGGTCACCCAGGCAACCCACCCAAGTGGAAGAAATGCCCACAACTTAACCCGCCTGACATCCATGACACCATAGAAGATCACGAGACACTCGAAGACCCTGTTCTCGCGAGAGGGGAGGAAACCGAGCAAGCCCAGCCCAAGGTGGCCTTGACCGCAGACTGCAGGTGGGGGCCTCGGCGTGCCGAACACACCACACCAGGGACCTAACACAGCATGTGCTTTCAGCAAGCGAGAAAACCCAACAGGGTAACAGGAAGTCTCACATAAAAAGAAATGATTTAAAAAAAAAACACCAAAACATGTAGAAACTCTAGAGTTTGAAGGTGTGACTTCTGAAATTAAAAAATGCACAAGACGGACTTAACAGTGAAGGGAACATTTCAGAAGAAAGGGTATTGGAAATAGATCAATAGAAGCAATCGAAGGCGAAGAAAAATGTTGGAACGAACATGGAGCCCCTGGGACTTGCGCCTGCTACCAGATGGCCAACTCTGCGCGCACCTGGACGACCAGAGGAGCCGAGGGAGAACGGGGCTCCACCTGTCATCAGAAACTTGCAAATCCCAGCTGAGGTCAGCCAGATTCGTGCAGGGCACAGATGAGGGCGCTGGGTTACGAGCCAGCGCAGGCCTGGTGGTGACAAGGCGGGGCAGACAGGATGTGGCCCTGGCCTGCCGACCTCTAAGGGGCGTACTGTTTATCACCTGCCGTGTGTCTTCTGAAAGCCTGTCCTCCATGACAGGGCGTACACATGGCTGGGCATGCGTGGTGTGCCCTTTCTTACTCTACCTGGAGAGTTCAGCTGCTCCCACGTGGCCTGCAGCCCACACCTGCTGCTTTTCTACTTCCTCCCCACGGCCTCAACACCACAGCCGACCTCCTGCATCGGCCCTAATTATACCCATCTTCCCAAATGGCCTCACATACCTGATTTCCCTACTCAGAAACCATCGCTGGCTCCCCAGTACCCCGGGAACAAAGCCTAACTCCTTGGCCTGGCATTATTGGAGGCCTTCCATGCTTTTCAACCATACTTCCCAGCATTCTGCTTTGGGAATCATTCCCTCCAACCTGGTGGACTTCCTTCCAGGAACGCTGGAGGCCTCCGGGCTGTGCTGGACCACCCCCTAGACACCCCTCCCTGACTCCTGAGAAGACATGTCCAAATCTGACCTGTGCTAGGCCCCGTCCCCATCCCACGTCTTCCCGGGGCCCTCAGGGCTTTTCTAGGTGGAAAGGAGCTCTGCCCCTTCCCCTGCACTTCCTGCAATGGAATCTCATCCCCAACATGCATGTGCTGCTTCCCTAACAGACACCAGGATGGCCGGCGAGCCCAGTCTGCTCCCCGTTCTGCCTGCCCAGGCTCCAGATGTCCCGCAGGGGCCCCGGGAAACAAGGCTCCGACACCGAAACCCCAACAGAGGGTCAGCTGAGGTGGAGGGGGCCAGGACTGACCCTGCCCCGGAAGTGGGGTGGACACTGACCTTTGACCCTGTCGCCGCGGTGGAGGGGGATCTCGCCGTCGACCTGAGGGTGGTATGGCTTGACAACGACGAAGAGCCTCCCCGGGACCGCGCTGTAGAGCTTCCGCTTGGGCTCCGGGTACTCAAAGGCGGACAGCGTGTCCTTGTTGGCACCAGGCAGGAAAGCCGGCCTGAGGGGGAGGGGCAGAGAGAGACCGAGAGGGTCACGGCCTGAGACAGGGCACATCACACTCCAGGCCCGCGGCCGATCTGTTCATGGCCAAGCCGTGGCGCTAGCTGTCCCGTGGGAGCTCCTGACTCTAGACAGAACAAGGACGTGAAAATGCCCGGGGGCAGCGTCCGGGGTTAAGAGACTCAGGTGGTTCCAGCAAATGCACTTCTGGGAACACACCCATGTTTGCACACCCTGTCCACAGCGGCTTTGCTCACAACAGCCCAGAGATGGAAACGAGCTGAGTCCCCATCCAGGGATGAACAGATAAACAGTGTAGTCCATCCACACAGTGGACTACTATGCAGCCATAAAAAGGAAGGACATTCTGACACCTGCTAAACGTGGACCAACCCCGAGGACATTACACTCAGTGAAAGAAGCCAGTCAGAAAAGGCAAGTGTTCCTGGTATGATTCCATTGATTGCAGGTGCCTGGAGTTGTCACGTTCCTAAGTGGGACAGTGGGCACAGGGGTGGGATGGGGGTCAGTGACTCAGGGTGACAGAGAGTGGACGGTGGGCGCCAGGGCCAGGGAAAGGATGGGGGTCGGTGACTCGGGGACAGAGAGTGGACGGTGGGCGCCGGGGCCGGGGGAGGGATGGGGGTCGGTGACTCAGGGGGACAGAGAGCAGATGGTGGGCACCGGGGCCAGGGAAGGGATGGGGGTCGGTGACTCAGGGGGACGGAGAGTAGACGGTGGGCACTGGGGTGGGGGGAGGGATGGGGGTCGGTGACTCAGGGGGAGTTTCCCTTTGGGAAGATGTGAAGTTCTGGAGGCGGACGGTAGGGACGGCTGCATAACAGTGTGAATGTGCTTAATGCCACAGAATTCTGTCCTCAAACACAGTTAAGGTGGTAAATTGTATGTTATGTGCACTTTAATACAGGGGGCACCTGGGTGGCTCAGTCAGTTAAGCATCTGAGTCTTGACCTCGGCTCAGGTCAGGAGACAGAGCCCCGCATCGGGCTCTGCGCTCAGCGGGGAATCTGCTTGGGATTCTCTCCCTCTGCCCCTCCCCCCTTTCCCACCCACTCACACGCACACCCATTCTCTCTCTTTCTCAAATAAATAAATCTTTAAAAAAAAAAAGAAAAATCAAAGACCCTAGCAATGCAGAAATCGAGGCAGACCTGGTCTCTTGACATTTTATCTCCTCCACCATGTGCACCAGCCACTCCGGATGAGGAAACCCCACTGTCCGAGAAGAGCTTTCACAATCACACGAGCCACCGCCCCAGCCGCCCTGTGGACTTCTCAGCAGACGCGGGGCCGCCTTCTTGCTTTCCGTTATTTAACAAAGAGCAAACGTTCCCACGCCCACGTCCAGGCCCGACAGTGAGACATGCCCCAGCCAGCCCCATGTGGGGCTATGCGTGCTCAAGGGGCAGGCTCACAGAGAAATGGGCCACGCGGTTTCCGGGATGACATCCCCGCACCATTGCACCAGGAGGCCAGAGCTGGCCATGTCCAGTGGGGGAAAGAGAGCATGCCCACCCCTGTTCTAACCAGGGACAGGCCCAGGTGTCACACTGGCTCGTCTTCCTGGGAGGGGGCTTTCTAAAACGCATGTGGACAAAAGTGGGCAGGAATTCCAACCTGGGGAACCACACCGGCATCTCAGGAGGGGCCCACTTGTGTCAGAAACTCATGGCCACGAAGGACAGGGTCCCCAGCTACGGATCTCCTCTCACCCACAGATCCTATGGCCCAGGAGCCCACGGACGGGGCCTCGAGCATTCTGAGAGGAAGAAGTTCTCACCCGTGGGCAGGAACTGCTGTGGACGGGCTTGCAGGGAGAATTCCAGAAGCTGATGTGAACCCTCCAAGTTCCGTTGGTCCCGTGCTTTACTCAGATCTGTACCCCCGATAAATGACGCCTGGTTTGCTTGTAGAAGCTCACAGAGTATGACCGTGCTGTGTTCTGTACTCCCGACTTTCTCACTCACCGTCACAACTTGGGGAGCCAGCCAGGGGAGCCCACGTCCACACATGCGAAGCCAGAGGCTGTGACACACTCAGTATCTACCCGCATGTATACTAGCATGGTGTGGAGAAGGACTGACCCCAGTGGCCAGAGCCCACCCAAACCCACATGGGGCAGAGGGTGGACAGGAACCTGGGTTGGTCACATGAGCTTTCCTGGGTGCCCACCAGGGCTCAGAGACAGAGGTCCTCTGTCCTCATGCTCTCCTATCCCCAGAGATGCCATTCCTCCCCCAGAGCCTTCTTTAACCAAGTTTAAGCCAGACGGAGGTCACAGAATCCTGCTGGCCCAGGTGGCCTTGCCCAGTGGCCCCACATGACCTCCTTGTTTAACCTCTCCCTGCCAGCCAGCTACAGATCGATGGACAAGAAAACCCAGATGTTCCCTGTGAGGGCTGTCCTGCATGCCCGGGCACGGCAGGGGCTCCAGAAGCGGGTGACTTTTGCAAGAGGCATGCTGTCCACGGGAGCAGCGTGGCAAGCCAGCAGAAGGGCAGAGAGGAAGGGCGGTCTGGGTCACCTGCCTGTCACATGAGAGAAAGCAGGAAAGCCAGAACGGTTCCGCCAAGTTCCCACCTGAGAGGATGCTGCCAGCCGCCAGGGACACCTGCTCAGGGAATGATTCATTCATTCAATCCGCCTCATCTCAGCCTAACGCAGGGCTTGTTTGGCCCAGGACCGAGAGCTGAGAGGAGAGTAGGGAGCGGGGCACGTGGGGGGCCTCCTCCTCGGCTTCCAGGTGGGGGAGATGGGTCTTGGTGACCAAGGGGACCCAGTTGTTCTGCAATAGGCAAAGCAGCCCCTGCGGCCACTCCACCTGGACACAAGCAGCTCAGAAGAGGCTTGGGGTAGGCAGCGAGGCGCCAAGGTCCCTAGACCTCTGTATGCAGTGGTCAAACTGTCTACATGCCACGTCTGCACCAAGGGATGGCAAGGGTAGGACCCAGTGCTGGGGCTGCAGGAGGGTCCATGTGCGGATACAGATGGAGGGCCCCGCTCCAGGCGGCTTTGACAGCCCCCACATGGAGGTGAGCCCCCTGCAGCATCCCCCCCCTAGCATTCCCCACCTGTTCTGGATTCTTCCCAGAAAGCAGGTCCCCACCCTCGGCTCTCCCCTCCCCGGGTCCCTTCCTATGTGGGCAGCACTGGAAGGCTTACTGGGCCCAATGGAGAGCCACTGCATCTCCTGCAGGGTCTGGGGGAATCCAGGTGGGGAGTCCCTTCCCCGTGGCCCGCAGCTCCTGTCAAGCACGTGTGGTCGAGTTCAGATCCCTCTGGGCCACGTGCTCCCACGTCCCCTCTGCGGGTCACAGAGAGCGTTACTGAAAGCCAGCTCCCAGTGCCTGCTGAGCCAGGGCGAGGGCGCGAGAGGGACCGCCTGCGGGGTCGCCTCCCTGACCTAGAGATTCCCCCCGGGCTGTCCTCCCAGAGCGCCTAGTCCTCAGGGTGGGTGGGGCCTGCTGCCCACGCTGCATCTCGCTGTGTAGCCAGAGGGGGCTGTCCCTAGGACCACCTCTGAAAAGGCTTCCCTGGGGATGCTCCACAGAGCCCTGACCTGGAACAGTTCCTGGCCCCACAGTGGGGTCGGCATCAATGCCAGACTCCTGGCCTGCGAGGCCTTGCATGACCAGCTCCGACCCAGCTCCCCACTTCATCACGTGCTCTCCCCGGGATGCTCTCTGAATTTCAGCTCTATCCCTGTCCCTTTGCTCCTGGACCACTGCATCCAAACTGGACTCTGGCCCGTTCTCCGTGACCACGGCTGCCTGTGGAGCCTAGGGTTCTCCTCCAGGTCACGTCATTCATCTATCCAGGGGCTTATTTGATTATCTAAGGACAGGGAGCACATCCGGCTGTTCTGTGCCAGGAACCCCGTGCCCAGCACACAGTGGGTCCTCAGCCGAGTGGACCTGTAGTGGCCACTCGCAGACCCCTTGGCCTCGGGTCTCCACCCGCTGGGTGACCGTGGGGCGCGGCCCCTGCCGCCTGCAGCCCCGACAGCGGCGGCCGCGTTTGCCCCCGGCCGTGGGCGGCCACGACGTGCACCCCGGCTCCGAGCTACGGAGGTGAGCTGACATTGTAGAAAAGGCGCCTCGGTGCAGAGGCTCCCGGAACGGGCACTTGCCCAGGCTGCTTGACTACCCGTCGTCATCGAAAAAGCCGGCTTTCCACCAAATCAGACGCTTGATGAGAATTGTGATGGGAGTCATCCTGTGTTTGATGTGAGTTCAGGTGCAGTTTGGGCTGGGAGTGTTTTCGTAGTCAGAAGGCACAACCGTCCACCTCTGTTCCAGAGCCTCTTTCAACACTGCCCGCGATGGAGTAAAAACATGAATTTCCATCTTAATGCTCTTTGGAGGCGTCAGAGTTCTTCCAGATCTTGTTTTATGGTATTTTTAAAGCATTCGTCCTTCACAACCCATTTTGAAAGGACAGTTGGAGGAGTAAAACCATTGGTAGGTCTGCTACCTATTTATTCTCCGGTGGAAACCAAGGCACGCCCACAGAGCTTGCTGTTAAATGCGACATTCCCACCTTGGGGCTGAAACGTTAAAACGGGGAGCGGCGGGATTTATTAACCCGGGCCTGATTAAAACGTCCAGCAGTAGTTAGTGCCTCAGCCTGACAGGGCTTGTGGACTCTGCACATCGGCGCCCTCCCTACACGTGGTGGGACCCAGGGGGCCAGCCCGTCCCACTGCGCGGCCAGCAGCTTGAGGGACCGTGATAGGTCATCACCCCGGGTCTTGGGGAGAGAGCATCATCTGAGCCACACTTTGGGCTCCTGGAGGAAGGGGAGTTATGAACGAAGGGAAGGTATAGTATGATTCATAGACCCTTTTTCTTCGTTGGCTTTCACCACCCCCCACCCCCGACTTGCGTACAAGCTCCTCGAAGGTTGTGCTGTTCATGACTTTATCCCAAGTGCCTAACGGTGCTTGGCACAGCTAAGTGCTCATTCACTCTCTGTTGG